TATATATATATATATATATATATATATATATATATATATATATAATTCATCTTTAAAGGTTATTTGACTTTTGGTGATTCACTGCAGCTATCTTGAATTATGACATCGGCGCGAGAAAACACACGATGAAAATCTTTGCAAAATAAATTAAAATAAAAAGTTTTTTCGATAAAATTACATTTTTCATTTGATGGAACAGGCTTATAAAATATATACCGACAACTTTTCATTCGCTCTGTTAATCAATAACAATTTAGAATTGAATTGTGACTCTTTTCTTGATTAGTACAATTAATTTTCTGGAGCAAAAGAATAATTTTCGGCATATTTTACAAGTCTGTTTTATTAAATGTAAACGTTATTTTCCAACATATTTCTATTATATTTTGTAAGAATTTTCATCATGTTTTCTCGCTTCTGACATCATAACTCAAGAATGAATTAGCAAGAGATCATCTTAAAAATGATCGTTATTTCGTAAATTCCGATAAGTAAATTATATACCAACAAAGATAAGATACACACAGCACATATTTTTGCCTTTCAAAGAAATACATATTTTGCACGATGTTTTTGTTAGAATATTAAATGTGCGTAAAAGTGAAATAAGACGACGTAGCGGAACAGATTTAACATTATGTACTTTGACGGGGTAAAGGCTTCACGAATGTCTTCATCGCGTAATTATTTTATGAGCGATCTTCTTTTTTTCTATTGAAGGGACGCCTGTTTACCGTAACAATACTGAAGAAGCGAGACTAAACGAACGTAATGGGCCACTTTCAATTCCAACGAGAGGCGCTTCGATACCCACCACTGCATCTTGAATGGACTCTTCTTCTTCGTCGTCGTCGTCGTCGTCGTCGTCTTCGCGACGACGCGATGTCTTCACAAGCGAATTACACAGTTAATAGACACCTTCACGATCAATTGACCGCGATGATCGATGAACGAATTTGCAGAAAGTGCCGATAGATTCCTCGACACGCGAGGCGCGAAGATTTCCCTGCCGATCGAAGTACTACTTAGGAAACTTAAAATACCGGGAATATCAATATCGTGGTTGGAACTTTTTAAATTCAACAAGAGCTTGAAAACTTGCATATCTCTCGACATAGTGAGATTTTCACTGTGTCATAAAAAATGTTTGTTACAAATATATAAATAATATGTTATTTTTTTAAAAATTCTTCTCATATTTAAACTCGTAATTCACATAAATTTCATAATTTGAGAAAACACTTTACTTCAAGTTTTGATACTTTTCTCAGATAATTGCGATTCCCTCGCATGTATTTCTTCGATAGAAATAGAGAGCCGGCCAGTTTCGTAAGAAAATAAGACCGAGAAAATTCATGAAATCGTTAACGACCTCGTAATATTTTTATCGTAGGACGAAATACAGCTCGTAGCACGTTTTTGATAGCTTTTCGCTTTATATGAAACAGTGCGATTAGAAATCACAGACCATGCAATTAAAATATCGTTCCAACTTATTATCGATAGGCTATGAAATTTTATGCGTCGCAGATATCCTTCATGACAGATACGGTTGACCGCGACCATTATTTTGTTGAATTTAATCGAAGATGCAACTTCATAGTAAATATATCACATCTGTGCACAATTTTCTCGGAATTTTACTGCATTTCGTTGCACACTACCACGTGTATATTTAGCGTAAATTAAATTATTTTAATCTACACATTCCATGTACAATTATCTCGATCTTTTATTACGATAATAATAAGATAATTCATTACATTTTTGTTACATATTGATAAAACAGGAGATTAATTAATCAAGCAACATATATTGGCCAAACTCAAAAGTAATATTCTTTAAATTAAGACACAACGTTTTGATTAAGACCCACTTATTTCAATCATATACATTCAAATAACAAACATTACGTATCGTTATCAAAGATATCGAACATCAGATCATAGTCTGGAATTCATATGATTTCAGTTATTCTGCACGGAGCTTTAAAACTGGTCTTGATTCTTTTTTTTTTCTTTATTTACAAAGGCGACGCGGACTTGTCGATCTGGTGCGATCGGAATGCAGATAAATCTTCTCCCATGTTGGAAAATCATGAAGAGACACGCAAATAGCATTCTACGTACGTTAAACTCGTTCGCGTATCGCATGAAAAGAAAATTAACTATTTCCGGAGATTAGCACATTTATTAGTTAGCCCAATAGTTGTCGTGGAAAAAATATAGTATTAATAAAAAATATATGTAAACTTTCGGACTTTGCAAAGGCAATGACAGATTCTTTCTAAATATGCATATTGTTATTGTTATTATTGTGATAACATAATAAATTTAAAATAAATATTACAAGAATGTCATTTTTCAAGCAAATCAGTGCATATGCATAACGGCAAAAAACCAAAGTATTTATAATAATAATAATAAAAAGCAGATCTGCAAAAACTTATAAAAGCTCAAAATAAAAGTACGCAATAATATCTGCAAAAAAAAATTTGAAAAAAGACTCCTCACGTAGCCTTCAATATCTTATCTAATTTTATCGAGATTATCAAGTCGTTATTTACTGTCAACGCACAATATTCCTTATCTAATGCGTGCACTGTACAATCTACTTTTGAATTTAAGCCGTATTATTTCGATCAAGCCGTTCCTGGATTAAAATATTTTTAAAAGCGAGTGTTTAGGCGAGTGAAGGCCAAAGCGGAGAACGACGATGTTAAAAACATACAAAAAAAAAAA